ATAGATAAAAATGAAGGGTGATAGAGAAGACCGGATCCAGCAAAGCCAAATCCACCTACAGAAGAATAAGAATTTCAGCATTGTTTTCCCAGAGGGAAGGTATTTCAAGGCTAAATATTAAATAAGTTCAAGTACAAGGCAAAATGATATAATTAAGGCAAGCTAGATGAGTTTGACCTATGTTTGGTTAAGTTATAGATTGTTTCACAATAGATTCCTCTTAATAGACTTAATCAGGGGTCCTCAAACTACGGCCCGCGGACCACATGCGGCCCGCTGAAAACATTTATCTGGCCCGCCAGGTGTTTTTGCCGCCGCTGTGTGCATAGGAATTTGTTCATAGTTTTTTTTTAAACTATAGTCCGGCCCTCCAAAGGTCTGAGGGGCAGTGAACTGGCCCCCTGTTTAAAAAGTTTGAGGACCCCTGGACTTAATGGTTAATAAAAACAAACTATTTATCAATAGGGAAAAAATAAATAGAATATTCTGTGTAAAAATCCTAAGTGCCACAGCATTAGCCTAACCAAACTAGAATTTAATCTGTTGATTACTCAAAATAGACATGATTTTAGTGATTCTTCACTCAAATTCTACACAAGGACCTATTACATAACACTGACATTGCACCGGGATAAATTTGTAAACAATGCAGATTATCTCCCGTCTTCAAAGGGTTGACTGTTCAGGGAAATCCTATTTTTGCTTTGCCACAGAGAGCTTGGCTTACAGAGGGAATCAGGGCTCCAAACATAAAGGCCAACAGCTCTGTGAGCTAAGTGCTTTATCCCTCACAATAGCCATGTGAGCCAAGCACTCTTAATACCTCAGGGGGAGCGAGTCATGTCTCAGGGAGGAAGAAATAGAGACAAACGAGGTAACTTAGGGAGTGGCAGCCTTGGGATTTGAACTCTAGTCTTTTTGGTGTCCAAAATCAGTGCCTTTATCACCATTAGCCTACACTGTCTCTCTTACTACAGATTTGCCACTCATTCCGTAAAGAAAGAATTTATATAATTTATAACGAGTCCATATAGAAAGATAAATATTTCAAAATAGAACAAACTTTCAAACATGAAATTAAACATTGTAAATATTTGCCTTTTAGTTTATCTTGAAAAGTTATTCAAGGAAGTATTAAAATTAATTACCTCTTATGTTTTTAAAATCTATTATAGCAAAAACTTCCTGAAGATGTTTAAATATTTTTTTACTAACAGCAGTAAGTTCATTTTTTTGTAAGCTAAAAAGTCCATTTCTAAAAATTGCACAGAGACATACCTGAGGGATGGCGCCATAGTTCCAGATATATCCTTTATAAGGGAACACATTTGCAACATAACGGAGTTTCCCTTTTTTCACATCTTGTTTAATTGGGTTTAAAGGGTCCTTTGTAGCAATCTGAAATAAAAATTTTCTAATCATTGCATATTTGGATGTAAAATCCTATTCAAATAAGGATTTGAGGGAATTACGGAATGCACACCCCCTAGTTCCACTGTAATGACATATTTTATCTGTAACATTTTTATAATTTGAAATAAAAGTTTCTCCATAGTCAGCCTTTAAGTGGAAAACATTTGAGGTATACAGGAACTATCAAGAAGGGGAAAAGAACATTTAGTAATTCCAGAAAACAAAACTAAACTTACCTGGAATAAATCCTAACATTTGAGAAATAAAAGATTTTTATTAAAAAGGTAAAATAAATATTACCAAATTCAGCTTTCCTTCAGAGCATTTAAAATTATTAAAGCATTTGAGTATCTATTACATGCAAAGTGTGGTTACATTTAAAAAGCTTAATTGACATAAAACACATAAAAAATATCCTTAACAAAAAAGCCAAATATCTTATGTGTCATCAGAAGGAAATTAACAAAATGCAACAGAAATTCCAATGAGATCATTTGTGGCTGGGAGACCAAGGAAAGCCTGTTGACTCTGTGAAGTCAATGATGGACTTAAAAAGAACAAGACAGAGAAGAAAAAGGTAATTCCAGGCTTTGGGAACTCCAGAAGCGAAGATGTAAGGGAAGGGAAGTCTGTAGCATATTTGTAAATTGTAAATAGGTAAGTTTAGTTGGAACACAGAGAAATGATTGGCAGGCAATGGGAACTATAACTGGAAAATAGATTGGGACTAGAAAGAGGTAACCTTAGACTTTAGCTGTTTAACCCTTGAGCAAATCAGTGTGGCTAGATCAAAGCTAATATCCTACATCGGACTATCAAAGGCAAACATACCTCCATTTTTGCATTAGACCAGCGTGGTACTTCAACTACCATGTTGAACACATCCTGAAAAACAGAAGGTCAGATGGTCACAGGAGCTAATTTATTCTCTTCAATGAGCAGGCCCTGGTTCCTCCAAAGAAAAACTGTTCATTGCATCTGATCTTTGAAGTCAATGGACTTTCAATAAAATGCATCAAAAATAAGACAGACTGATGGATGAAGAGACAAAGCAAAATATTACTTTTGCAAGATATTATTCTTGCAAAATACTATTCTGCTAAAGTATTACAAAATCAAGGTGGTGGGTGTATGGTTGTCCGCTGTATAATTTTTCAAACTTTACTGGGTGTTTTATATTTTTCATAATTAAATAGTTGGGATGTATGTGGAAAGAATCCTATATAATAAAAGGGTAATATGCAAATTGACATTAATGGTGGAATGAACAGAACAACCGCTCGACCAGTCACTATGAGGCACACTGACCACCTTTCTATAAAGGGAAATAGTTTCTAAACATAACAGAACTTGTATCACTGAGGAAGCCCATCTTCAAAGCAACCATCTCCAATGCCTAGTCATTTCCATTGTGACTCTGAAATCACTCAAAATGTTTTTGAATCACCTGTTTCAGGGGTGGTTCATAAGACAAATCCCAAATCAGTTTAATTATTTTGTCATAGTTTGGTTTTAGCCTCAAACAAAATGAATCACCCCCATTATTCCCCCAACTTGGCTGTCTATAAAAA